TCTGGGTTCGGGAACTTTTCTCGTCCCGCTTCTTTCCGTTCCGAAGACCGTCGTGCCCACGATGCCAATCAATTATCGCCTGCTCAAGCAACCCCACCGCGTCGCTGGCGATCTCCATCACCTGCGCGTCACTGTGACTTCCCTCAGAGCTCCGCGCACGTCACCAGAGGCCGTTCGCCTAGCCCGCGCCGGGGAAACTAACTGATGTGACCTCGGGGGCCAAGGTTGCCAATCGTTGACACACTGAAAAGTTCCCCCAATCATCGCAAGAAGGTATGACGACAACGACGCTGAATACGACGACGAATAATAAAGCTGATGAAGTTGTACGTGCCGATATGAGCATTCTCATTGACGGACATCACGTTACAGCACTGGTCGACACTGGCGCCGACTTCTCAATCATGCGACAAGAGCTCGCCGACCGCCTCAGAAAGATCAAGACACCATGGACAGGGCCGCACATAAGGAGTGCTGGTGGTCAGCTGATGACACCCACGGGTAAATGCACCACTAGACTTCGCATCGGAGATTCTAGCTTCGTGGCCACTTTCGTGCTGTTGCCAGACTGCTGTAAAGGTTAATTTTCGACATGGATTTTCTTCAAGATCATGGCGCTGTTATCAACATCCCTCAACGTATGGTGACGTTTTGCGCACATCCTTAAGCCGACAACAGCAGTGAGGAACCACGCGGCCGTTTGCGAATAGCCGACGATGTGACACTCCCACCGAGATCCTGCGGCCTTGTGTCGGTGTCCAGTGGGTGTCCTTGCTATAAAGATGTGATAGGGGAGCACATAGTTACTCTTTTGTTCACGCAAGGCATTTCCATGACGAGGGGCGTCCTGGCGCTTACTGGTGGGCAGGCAGAAGTGCTCCTCACAAACTTCAGTAACAAGCGCCGTCAAATCCAGAAGGGTACCGCAATCGCCTACTACGACGATATATACCAAGCCGGGGATTGTTTTACCTTGCAACCAGATGACGCGGCTGTCCCATACTCGACTTCTTCGTCGGTCGACATCTGCTCTACGCTACCGCCCTCTGATAGGAAGCGCCTGCTTGAACTTATACACCGATTCGAAGACTGCTTTTCGCGTACGTCAAAGGTACAGCAAACACCATTGACCAAGCACCGCATCACTACTGAAGACAACACGCGACCGATTCGGCAAAATCCCTACCGTGTGTCTCCGAAAGAGCGCGAGGAGGTTCAGAAGCAAGTACACAAGATGCTCGCGGATGACGTCATACAACCTTCGAAAAGTCCTTGGGCGTCCCCCGTGGTTTTGGTCAAGAAAAAAGACGGCAGCTTGCGCTTCTGTATTGATTATCGCAAGTTGAACCAAGTCACGAAAAAAGACGTCTACCCCCTGCCCCGCATAGACGATTCACTCGATCGGCTGCGTCATGCCCGCTATTTCTCTTCAATGGACCTCCGAAGCGGCAACTGGCAGATAGAAGTCGACGGGAAAGATCGCGAAAAAACGGCCTTCGTGACGCCCGATGGCCTATATGAATTTAAGGTGCTTCCTTTTGGGTCTTTTGGGTTGTGCTCGGCGCCAGCCACTTTTCAGCGTTTCATGGACACCGTACTATCAGGCCTGAAGTGGCAAACATGCTTGGTCTATCTGGACGATGTTATTGTATTCTCAGTAACATTCGAGGAACATCTCAGCCGTTTATTCACCGTCCTCCAAGCCATACGCTCGGCCGGCCTTACTTTAAAACCGGAAAAATGTCATTTTGGTTTAAACGAACTCAGCTTCCTAGGCCACGTCGTCAATCACGAGGGTGTTCGGCCTGACCCGGCCAAAATAGACGCCGTAGCGCAATTTCCTGCATCACGCGACAAAAAGACCGTGAGACGCTTTTAGGGTTGTGTGCCTATTACCGGTGATTTATCGAGGACTTTTCGTCTATTGCGGCACCATTGACACGACTCACACGTGAGGACGTCACCTTCTTTTGGGGTGAACAATAGAAACTGGCGTTCAATGAACTACGACAACGCCTGCAAACACCTCCAGTCCTCGCGCACTTCGACCAGGAAGCCCCTACAGCACTTCACACTGACGCCAGCAATGTAGGTCTGGGTGCCGTTCTGGTGCAGTGTCAAGACGGCTGTGAAAGAGTAATAGCCTACGCCAGCAGAACTCTCTCTCGCACGGAGGAGAACTACTCGACTACCGAAAAGGAGTGTCTCGCCATGGTGTGGGCGGTCATCGAATTTCGTCCATATTTGTACGGCCGCTCCTTCAAGGTTGTTAGCGACCATCACTCTTTGTGCTGGCTCACCAACCTTAAAGATCCATCTGGCCGTTTGGCGCGTTGGAGCCTAAGACTTCAAAAGTTCGACATGACCATCGTATATAAATCTGGGAAGCGGCACACTGACGCCGACTGTCTCTCACGGTTGCCAGTGAAGACTGTCGCTCGTGATGACGAAAACATCGACGCGGCATTCTTGGGAGTTGTCAAGACGGCCACTATTGCACGGGAGCAGCGCAGTGACCCCGAGCTGTTACCACTCATTGAATATTTAGAAGGACGACGTAAGGACGTGCCGCGGTTATTTGCCAGAGGACTGCCATCTTTTTGCTTGCGAAACAATGTTCTCTATAAGAAAAACTTCTCACCAATCGGCAACCCGCACTTGCTCGTCGTGCATGCCTCTCTTCGAAAAGAAATTATGGAAGCGTGCCATGATGAAGCTACTTCTGGTCATCTAGGCTACACCCGAACATTGTGCCGACTGCGATGCAAGTACTACTGGCCAAAGTTACTCGCTGATGTTAACCATCACGTGCGAACTTGCCCCAGCTGCCAAAAACGCAAAGCACCTCCTAGAAAGCCCGCCGGTCTTTTACATCCAGTCCAAACACCAGCGAAGCCGTTCACCCAGATTGGAATGGATTTCCTGAACCCCTTTCCAACTTCCACAACAGGGAACAGATGGATAATCGTGGCCACCGATTACGTCTCCCGTTATGCGGACACTGAAGCTATGCAGCGTGGCACAGCAGCAGAGGCCGCTCAGTTCTTCATCAAAAACATCGTCCTTTGGCATGGCGCTGCGACAGCAGTGATCACAGACAGAGGACCTGCCTTCACCGCAGACCTTTTGGAGTGGGTTCTCAGACTAAAGCGGTACAGCTCACCGGAGAACAACTGCTTACCATCCGCAGACAAACGGACTGACGGAGCGCCTCAATAGAACCCTTCACAGACATGATCAGCATGTACGTTGACACAGAACATAAAAACTGGGATCAGATATTGCCATACGTGATCTTTGCCTATAATACCGCTCGACAAGAAACCACTGTAATGACGCCGTTCAGTCTGATCTATGGTCGCGAAGTCACGACAACGTTGGACGCCATGTTGCCGCATGAAGTGTGACGACATCCATGTGGACGCCGAAGAGCTCACTCAGCGCGCCGAGGAAGCCAGACAGCTCGCGCGTGTGCGTATCTGTCATCAACAGCATCAAGATGCACAACGGTACGACCCCCGACACAAGTTTATTAGCTACACACCAGGCGACAAGGTCGGGGTCTCGATTCCGATATGTCGACGTGGACTGTCGGAAAAACTAAGACGATACTTTGGCCCATACAGCGTCACGCGACGCTTGAACGACGTGAACTATGAAGTTGTTCCCGACACTAACTGTGGTTCTAAGCGTCAAAATCATATACCTGAAGTCATACACGTCGTGCGTATGAAACCGTATTTATCCAGTTGACGCGACCACTTCATACGCCTGGTAGAGCGCCTAAGTTGCGCATCGGGACGATGCCTCTTTCGGAGGGAGGCAAATGTCACGTGCTTGTCAAAAAGAAAGACAATGACAGTTGTGCATGTGCCGTGAAGTACAATAAAATGGATGAAAAAGAAGAACTCTTTTGCGCGTTCTATTAGAAGAACCTACCTGCTTCTGGTACTCAGTTTCTGCCGCAAGACCTCTGTTTCGACGTCGTGACAATATTACTGCGATCTACGCTGTCTTCACACACAAAAACGTCAACCAATCACCGCTTCGCTGTTAAAAAAAAGTACTCTTCACGTGGCGTGTCTAGCAAATAGATTACCTTTCTGCCTGGAGCGATTTCCTAACTGTGTCACCATTAGCAAGGAATTTCGACCCGACGTAACACACACAGCTGCGGATGTATGTCAGTGGCCTTGGAATTGAAGCAGTCATCAGTCAACGTCAGCTAGGCAAAAATTTACTTATTATTTAGGCAAGCTATGCTTTCTCGTCCACCGAACATACGTTTGTCATCACTAAGCTTTCACGCCTTGCTTTATCGCGGGCCGTGTCCTATCTGTGTAGCTGAAGTTGTTTCATGTTCGCAAATTGTCACACTCTATGCTTGCTGTCACTGCTCAAGGGCCCGTATGAATGGTGCGGTCGCTGGGCGCTACGTGCCGCAGAAATACATGTTTGTGGTTGATTGCAAGCCGGGGATACTGTGCAAAAACAGACTGTCTCTCTGGTCACTAGTTGAAGTACCCAACCTAAGTTACGTTGAATCAAACCACTTATTGCTCTGAATCAGCGCCTTCTGTTCCCACGTCCGCTGAGCAGCGACGGCATCCATAATTACCGGCCATCATCGATCATGGAGCACTTGTGCTTTGATATCATGGGCTAATTTGTTTAGCTGAAATTATATGCAAATGCCTCCGTAGGGATGCCGTGTACAAAAGCGCCAGACTAATTTGGGAAATTTGTAGCTTTACTTTTCACTCACGTTCTTTTTGAAATATTTCTCATTCATTACCATGTAGGAAACACAGAAGGTGGGCTTCAGGCTATTACGGGCCACCACCAAGACTTGGCACGACCTGCCCAACCTTCACAATCTAGGAAATATGTTCATAGCAAAAATTAGTCTGATAGCGTTCTGCGCACTGTTGAATCAGTGAGTGGGCGTTTTCACTGTATTCCTGCAGGTGTTCATTCTTTGTATTTTTTTGAAATTTTAGGCGAAGTGAGCACCTGATAATGTTGCGGTACACATTTGTGAAAAGTGAAGGAGTGCTGATGGCAATTTATTTTATATTCATGTCTATAATATGGAATCCTGGTAAGTTGTGAATACGTTTGTGTATAATGAAAGCTGCCACAATTTGTGTCATGCCTTCACAAGAAAAAGCTTTAAATAGTTGTTATTTCTTGCATCACAGTTTCTGGCAGCTCATTGTTCAGCCAGAGCGATATATTTGTAGTTGAAGTGAACCTACGTGCGGTGTATTGGCCTATGCTTCCCGATGACACCTACTGAATATTCTGACATGATGACTTTTTTTCTTTTGTTTTAATGAAACTTTTGAGCGAACTGCACAAATCTAACGAGAGGAGTATAAGTCAGTGTTATTCTTGATCTATTTACATTTTTTGAAGAACGAGGTGGAATTTATGTGTCTCCATGAAATACTCATATCGCTTATGCAATGTTGTCTCTTGAAACGCTTGGAAGAAATTGCAACTACGTTTCTTGAAGTACTTGCCTTGTAATCGTGGTTTTTTCTCAGCCATCTAGTACGATGTGTTTGACAACCGTTCTTTCGAACTTGCACTTAAAACCAAAACACTTGAATGATTTGTCCGGCTGTCTATTACCCAGGCGCTTCCTTATACTTATCTCGTCGTGATAAGTTATGATAACCACAGTTTGTGTACGAGCGCTAATTTATTGCTTCCTCAGCAAACCAAGCATCCTAATTTGTTGTTTAGTCAGTGGTTAAAACTTTCATTCAGTGCAGTGTACCTAAGAAACAATATATATGCGCGATTAGGCACGTCCTCGCACTCAAGGTCCCCTAAGCAACGCGGCAAACACAAATAACGAGAGCGTTTTTCCCTTTTGGCGTTTCAAGTCTTTTCTGCGTAATTCGCGACACCATCACTGAGTTCACGTGGTGTCATAAGGAAATAAACTTTCGGACTGTTCCACATGCGATAATATATGAGTTTTAAATTGCAATTTACCCTACTCGAACAAGCAGTCGCACTTTGTGCTGCTTTGTCTCACTTAAGTATCGTGAGCGATTAACTGACTTCATTTCATTGTGTGCATTTTTGACGGCAAAAGCGAAGATAACAGTGTGTAGTCGAAAAACGATATCGTCACTGGCTCAACGCTTGCTGCCGGCACTTTCTACGTCTTTCATGAAGAAGTGAGTGACAAGAAGAATATAAGTGATGCAGTGGAGAAAACTAAAGGCAAGAAACGGCTCCTGCGAGTTTGGACTCGGAGTGGTTTCAGGGTTCTGCCAATTTAGAGACCAAAAACATTTGTCATGCAAGTGTTTTCCGCACGTTTTGAAACAGAATACTTCCCAGTTATTAAAAAGGAGGTTCAGCTTCATTAGACTTGTTGATTCACTGTGCAGTCCATTCGCGTAAATTAAACGGTGTGAGTTCAAACTGCGTAATGATATCGGTTGATATAGCAGCGTTGTTTACATAGTCACAATATATCCGTTCTCCTAGCTATGTTATTTATCCCTTTATTCATTTAAAAATGTCACTCCATTTGAAGAAGAAAGTCAAGCACTTTCGCAGAACTGTACAAGCTCTAGGTATGCTTGCCATAGACATTAAACATCCTTCGACATCTAAACACATCCTTGTATTACCATTTAGCTGCAATCCGTGGACATGCACATTTGAGGATTCCTGAACAGGGTTTGTGTTAGGTCTGCGACATGGATATAAGTGGAACAGCTAGAATAGATGCATGGTGCAGGTTTATGCGTACTGTAGTAGAGCCACGCACGCGCTAATGAAAACTTGCACTAAAAGTTAAAGCACGCTTGAGATACGGTTTTACGAGCAGATCACGACAGCATAATGAGGCCTCGTGCGCAACGGCTTGTGAACTGCTGGTTTGCGACAGTTCGCTCTGCATGCCTTAAGCATGCCGTAAAGATAGAAATTACCATGTGTGTAACATAACGCGTTTTAAAGTATCATCGAATGTTTAATGCAGGAAGAGGTGTCACGTGCCCACTAAGTCATAAATATTCAATTTGTGAATCAGCGAAGGGCCCACTTTGTTTGCGTAGAGCAACATGAGTCCCTATGCAGCTCTTCAAATTCTAGATGGTTAGGCTGCTTATGATCATTAATTATGTCTGAGCACTCTGTAACGGGCTGGCCTTTCAAATCCGTCCTCGTTCGTTAATTTCCATCTTTTGACAATAGATGCGATTATCTATGCTTCTGCCACGCAATATACCATGCACTAAGAAGACTCCTTTCAGTATTTGACATTTAAAAAATTATGCTTTTCCAAAGCAGTTTTAAGAGATATCGTGGATATATGGTCGAGCTCCTGCATACCCTGCTGACAGCCTAGGTTAGATCCTCACTCGGACCCGAAAACTTTTATATTTATTTATTTGCTATTTTTCAACACTTTTCGGCCACGCACTAGATCATGTTTCGCTTACAACCAACGACTTCAACCCCGTCACTTACGCCGACATTGGAATTTCTGTGAAACGAGCTCTTTACCGCTATCACGTTCATAATTCATCTTAAGTACAATGGGATGTGTCCGAGGCACTAAATATTTTAATAATATAGTTACGAGAAACTTGCTTATTGAGCTATTTACAGCGCAGAGAACTCGACGAGCAAGATTGCGTCAGACCAGCATCCAACGGAAAAACGAACTTCGTCCTCCCCTTTCTTGCAGCCGTATTTAGCGGATGTTTTGTATCATAACCCCCGGCGGTAAAAGCACCGTCCCGGTGCTAAATTTACACAGATGATGTCGAAGGGGGGTAATAGGGCTTTAGCCGAGCCACGTGAACGGTGTCGCTCGGAGCTGACGATGACATTGTCGGATCGGTTGGAACAATCTCGTACGTGACGTCTGTCACTTGGCGAACGATACGGAATGGTCCAGTGTAGGGCGACAACAGTTTTTCCGCCAGTCCTACCCGCCGAGTAGGTGACCAGAGGAGCACGAGAGAACCCGGAGAAAAGTGCACGTCCCTATGGTGAGAATTGTAGAGCTGTTGTTGGCGCGCCTGTGAAGCCTGTAGACGGTTACGGGCGACTTGGCGCGCGTGGTCGGCGCGGGCAATGGCTTCACCAGCATATTCAGTGGCCGCAGGTAGTAACGTGTCTGAAGGTAGAGTTGGGTCCCGGCCATATAGTAGATAGAAGGGCGAATATCCAGCAGTGTTGTGACGAGATGAGTTGTAGGCGAACGTCACATACGGCAAATGAATGTCCCAATCATGGTGGTCTGGCACAACGTATTTGGCAAGCATATCGATTAGTGTCCTGTTAAGGCGCACCGTGAGCCCATTTGACTGGGGATGGTACGAAGTAGTAAATTTGTGCTTGGTATGGCAAGACCTTAGGATTTCATGAACGACAGCTGATAAGAACGTGCGGCCATGGTCGGTGAGAAGTTGACGGGGAGCACCGGGCACTAATATTATGTCGTACAGCAGAAAGTCCGCAACGTCGGTAGCGCAGCTGGTCGGGAGTGTTCGTGTAATTGCGTACCGCGTCGCGTAGTCCGTGGCAACAGCAATTCATTTATTTCCGGCAGGTGGAAAGTGGAAAAGGGCCCAACAGGTCGAGACCAACTCGAAAGAAAGGCTCGTTGGGAACGTCGATCGGCTGAAGGTAGCCGGCTGGGAGGGCAGACGACGTTTTGCGACGCTGACAGGGCTCACAAGCGGCGACATAGCGTCGAACCGAGCGGGCAAGTCCAGGCCAAGAAAACCGACGTCGTACCAGATCGTATGTGCGAGAAACGCCCAAATGGCCCGTCATGGGAGGGTCGTGAAGTTGATGCAGGACAGTGGAACGCAGGTGCGCTGGGATGACAGGAAGTAAGTCTGATCCGAAGGAATCAAGGTTGCGGCGATATAGGATCCCGTCTTTCACCAAAAACATTCGTAGGGACGGGTCGCGAGGCGTTGACACCAGTTTGTCAATCATGGCTTGTAAAGAAGCATCCCAACGTTGCTCTTCGCCAATGTTTAACAGCTGCGACACGGAAAAAACGTCCATGATAGCGTCAGTATCGGTTGCTTCGTCAACAGGGTAGCGGGATAAACAATCCGCATCCTGATGTAATCGCCCTGTTTTGTACATTACAGAGAACGTGTACTCTTGAAGGCGTAGAGCCCAACGAGCGAGACGTCCCGGGGGGTCCTTCAGTGAGGCTAGCCAGCAGAGCGCGTGATGATCCGTGACAACACGGAATGCCCGTACAGGTATGGGCGAAACTTGGCGACTGCCCATACAAGGGCGAGGCACTCGCGCTCCGTGATGGAATAGTTGCGCTCGACTGGAGATAGCAGTCGACTTGCGTAGGCTATAACACGGTCGTGTCCGCGTTGTTGCTGCAATAGCACAGCTCCTATGCCGTGTCCACTGGCGTCCGTGTGAACCTCGGTTGGAGCTAATGGATCAAAGTTAGCCAAGATTGTTGGCGTTGTAAGCAATGTCGTAAGTTGCGAAAACGATGACGCTTGGTCATGGCCCCATGTAAACGAGGCGTCTTTCTTCAAGAGGTCTGTGAGTGGGCGTGCAATGGTCGCAAAGTCCTTAACAAAGCGTCTGAAATATGAGCACAACCCCACAAAACTGCGGACATCCTTTGTGGTCTTCGGAACGGGAAAGTTCGTGACTGCGCGAATTTTCTCTGGGTCTGGACGCACGCCTTGAGCATCGACAAGGTGACCGAGCACGGAAATTCGACAACGAGCGAAGCGGCACTTGGAGGCGTTAAGCTGGAGTCCAGCTCGAGAAAAAACGTCCAGAATAGCTGACAAACGATCAAGATGCGAGTCGAATGTGGGCGAAGAGACGATAACATCGTCAAGGTAACACAAGCAGGTGTACCATTTCAGCCCTTCGAGCAATGAGTCCATCATTCTTTCAAATGTGGCTGGTGCATTGCAGAGTCCAAAGGGCATCACCTTAAACTAATAAAGACCATCAGGAGTGATGAATGCGGCCTTCTCGCGGTCCATCTCGTCGACGGCTATCTGCCAGTACCCTGATCGAAGGTCAATAGTTGAAAAATAAGTGGCACCGTACAGGAGTCGAGGGCGTCGTCGATGCGAGGTAAAGAATAAACGTCTTTTTTGGTAATTTTGTTAAGGTGACGGTAATCGACACAAAAGCGCCATGTTCCATCTTTCTTTTTAACAAGGACGACTGGAGAAGCCCAGGGGCTGCATGAAGGCTCGATAATGTTTTTCGCAAGCATTTTGCCGACTTCATGTTGCAATATTGCACGCTCCGACGCCGACACACGGTAGGGGCATCGGTGAATGGGGGTTGCATGGCCAGTATTTATGCGATGGGTGACAATGGTCGTTTGGCCCAAAGATAGAGTTGCTGGCAAAGTCAAAAATGCTACGATAGCCCTCAAGAACGTGGCAAAGCGCTGCAGCTTGCTCAGACGTGAGGTCCGATGACACCATTCGCTCGATGTCGGCGCCCCAAGAACGTGATGGAGTGGAACCACTGACTGAGCTGCAGCAATCGTCAATTCTGAAGGGCTCGACATGATCATCTTGGAGAGCAGTAATTTTGGCCAGGGAGATACCCTGTGGCAGAACTTGGGTGGTGAGTGAAAAGTTGACCAGTGGAAGGAAGGTGCGGTTTCTCTTAATCGTCAGAATCGTATGCGGCACAGCAACCCCATGCGTAAGCATCACTGCAGGAATCGGGGCCACCATGTAATCACCATCAGGTACCGGCGGCGTGGAGGGTAAGTCGACATGTGTGACAGAGTTACGAGGGAGGCGCGTGAAATCACTGCAGCAGAGGCTGGTTTGCGGTGGGCTGGTCGGGTCGAAAAAGAGGGGTAAATCGAGAAGGGGAGAGCCAGCTGAACAGTCTATGAGGGCAGAGTGCGTGGCTAGAAAATCCATACCGAGTATGAGTTCATGAGGGCAATGTTCGATAACGGCGAAAAGAACGACAGTGCTTCTCTCCCCAATAGAAACTCGCGCAGGGCACATGCCAAAAATTGCAGCAGTTCCTCCATCGGCGACTCGTACAGCTCGGTTGAGGGTGGGCGTGACAACTTTTCTAAGTCGGCGGCGAAGGTTAGCACTCATAATGGACACATGCGCGCCAATATCTATCAATGCACTGACACGAACATTGTCGACAGTAACGTCCAAAAGGTTCCGGTTCGTTGTTAACGTTAATTGAGGATTTCTTACGAAGGTCGTCAACGCAGCTCCACCTCCAGAAGCTGCATGGCCTAGTTTTCTGGTCGGAGATGCTGCCAATAGGTCGGGGAGGCAGTGCAGCGTTGTGGGGGCGACCGGGACTGACGACGAGCAGGCGACGGTGACCGGTCGTAGCGAGGTCTGCTCAGAGGTGCTGTAGGAGCGGAAAATGTAGTCGGCGTTGATGGAGAAAGTGATGGGGACGCCTGGCGAGCAGAAGTGGTGTGATACTGAGGTGCATAATGGGACGGTGGAGCGCAGCAGCTGCGGCAGTGACGAGCGATATGGCCAACGCGTCGACAGTTAAAACATATGGGCCTGTCATCAAGAGTACGCCATTCGGACGGATTGTGTTGTATGCGAGGTGCAAAAGGGGTACGATAAGAAGGCTCAGCAGAGTATACGGTAGGAACAGGATGTAGGCCGACATTCGATAGCTCTTGACGAACGACCGCTTGTATTAAAGAGATCGTGGTCGGGGAAGGCGCAGGCGTCGGTAATGGCGTGGCTACCGGTTGTGCTGCCTCGACCTCTCGACGAATGATGCGTGTAAGGTTGTCACATCGAGGGCCCTGGTGGAAGGCGTCATCACACGAAGAAGTGGCCGCTGTGTTCGGAAGGCGGACGATGCTTTGGGCTACGCGGTGGGCTTTAGCTTGTTCTAGACGTCGGCATTCTTTAAGGATTGTGTCAATGCTCGAGACGTTGTTAAAAACCAGCAGGTTGAAAGCATCGTCAGCAATGCCTTTCAAGACGTGGTTAACCTTTTCGTCTTCCGACATGGACTGGTTGGCCTTGGAACAAACGGCCAAGACGTCAAGAATGTAAGAGACGTACGATTCGGTAAAAGACTGGGCCGTGTGGCAAGAGTCTTCTTCGCAGCGAGCTGACGACCAGATGAATCGCCAAACAGGTCACGTATCTTTTTTTTTGAAGAGATCCCAGCTCGTTATGTCGGCTTCGTGGCTTTCAAACCATGTTCTAGGAGTGCCGTCCAGGTAGAAAAGCACGTTGGCGAGCATGAGCGTGGGATCCCATCGGTGAGTAGCACTGACGCGCTCGTACCGCTTCAGCCAAATGTCGAGATCGATCGTACCATCACCGGAGAAAGTGCCGGGATCCTGGAGGTGCGGTAGTGTGACGTAGGTGGTGGCTTGGACTCATGAGGGCGGCGTAGAGGAAGTACCAGCAGTCGAAGCAGTCGAAAGGTCGCCGATGGTGCGACCGCTGCGCGTCTCCATCGAGGTACGGGGGTCGTTCACCTCCACCAATAATGTTACGAGTAACTTGCTTAATGAGCTATTTACAGCGCAGAGAACTCGACGAGCAAGATGGCGTCAGACCAGCATCCAACGGAAAAACCCACTTCGTCCTCCTCTTTCTTGCAGCCGTATTTAGCGGCTGTTTTGTAACAATATACTCTGAACCCACCCTGACGCTCACGCTGCGTGTTTATGTACATTATCACTGCCGCTTGTAATAAAGAAGCGAGTACGCTAAAGCAAAACGATAACGCCTCATTGTCGTTTTTGTGGAAGTGTCCGATAGTAATTTACACTGCCTTGAACGTCTTTCTTAACCACAGAGTATGTGAATGCCGGCGGACCAGAAATAAACCAGCTGGAAGGTGGAGAACAAACGCCTGGTGTCGTGAGGAAGGAAGTGGATGCCAACCTCCGACATTAACCACGAGTTATACTCGTTGGTTCGCTAGACAAGATGGGAGTGCGTGTTACAACATCCTAACAAGTCGTTGTAAAGGGCCTCGCTACGCCACGGAAGGTCAGTGTAAACTGAACTGTGGAATAAGGCGGAGGTGATTCGACACGCGCAGCCACCTTTCCGAGAAATGTAGTTTTTATGCAAAATAAAATTTTGCTTCCTTCGGAAAGGGCATCTTCCCATGCTGCTTGTGTGCTATATATTATTTTCACCCACACAAGAATTCAAAACTGTGTGACACAAGTGAACTAACCTTACTAACAATGCGTTAATTCAATTACTATTCAGTATCTTATAATGAAACTTGTATTAGGTGCGAATGCACCGTGAGCTTACCGCACCTTGGATTCCATATCCATTGTGCCAGGAAATGTATACGAGATATAGCAGCAAGGAATGATGTCTGTCATAACTCGTTCTTAACACTTGTAGTCACATAGAAAATGCCGTGCAATCGGAAATCCACGTGTGCGGAGAAGTGATTAAGCATTCGAGGGGTGTATAAAGAATGACTGTGAAAGGGCGTCTTCTCTTATGGTATCATTGATCTCTATACTCTGCACTAAATATATGTTGGATGATTGGAAACACATAGTGACTTCATTTGCCAAGAATCCAAGCATCTAATGAGAACTTCGTAATGTGAAATTTACCCAGAAGCTTTGCATTAAAAGGCCCCACTGGAGGTGTATCCAGAGGAAAGGGGCTTCAGTCCCCTCCGGGACTGAAGGCTCTCCCCTATAGATCATCTGTCCCCCTTCCCCACCACCGAAAACTGTTTTTCCCCACTGTCACTTTTCTCTGACCGAAACAGCTGTTCGCACTAAATCAGCCTGGAATCTTTTCTTACATTTTATTAGTCCAACCACACTGGTGCGAGCGTTGCTGACCTCTGGTGGCGCTGTATGTAATTACGCAAGGCATCAGACTGTCAAAAATACCCTGCATACAAAGGCGCAGTGCATAGATTGCTACATTGCGACACAGTGAGACGCTCATCCAAGGCTCCCCTGTTCTCGCTGAGACGCGTTGCTAAAGAAAAGCTATCGCTGACAGCCAAGTTGCCCGGATTCCCTTTAGGCTTGCTTCGCTAAGTCGATATAACATTTTACAATTTTAGATTCATTTTACTTTCGGACGAGTTCTGCTTTTTTGCGGGATTAAGCAGTGTCAATGCACATGACTTCAACACAAAATGATTATAACTTTCGTTGATCACAACCGACATTCCGTTTTCTTTCACCTGCACGGAAAATGAGCAGTTCAGGACAGATACAATTGTATTCGTGCCTAAAACGATGAAATTCTTAATGCAGTGCGTCCTGGTAACCTAGACATCCCTTTCTGCAGTGCACGGTGCAGGATGCGTGTTTACAGCATCTCTTTAGACGACGGATACGTAACTAAGTCGCCACCCTCAAGTCTGATTCAAAGATGTGCTGAAAATATATTTTTGGCGATATTTTAAGATTAAGAAGTCAGCGTGATTGCAACCTTAGAAAGAGCCCTACTACTACAAAGAAATATGGGAAGATGAAAACCTAATTAAGGGCTGTCCGTCGCTTAGCTAAGCGGTCTAGTGTATAGTCCAGAATGGCTCGAATCAACGCCTAGAAGTAAGTCTCACCTAAACGTTGCACAGCATTTAGTCTAATATAAAGAGCGAAATGGGCCCCGCCAGCCTATTTCGAAAGGTAATGCAAATTTACAACACGGCAAAAGATGTCATGGCCGCACCCACGTAGCCTTCATGGAAAACGTGCAAAACAGGCTGCAAATTGAGCACGTTGACTGCGTCCTGCGAGCGTCCCTTTTTTTTATAGCCGGCAGCCAACAACGGCTACGCTCGAGTGGCAAATGTGATCTTAGTCGAGCCGTTTAATAAGTGACGCATCAGAGTTATCTGGAGAGCTTGACTTCAAGACAAAACAGCACTGCCCGACGGCCGCCAGCACTTATGCGGGACTGCTCGACTTCGTCATGTTTATCAACGTTCAATGGTCATCTATATCCTAGCTGTTGCTAACTGTCGGACTTAGTTTACAGTCAGCAGCTGTTATCCTGTACTTCTAAAAATTGTAGACTTGCCATTAAAGATCTATCTTAATTGATGTATTCATTGTTAGTGTCTCTCAACTCGTATTGTTGTGTAACCACTGATAGATCTTTTGTAGATATGCTCTAGCTAATTTTTACAAAGCAGGCTGGTATGATACCCTGCAATGGCCGGTTTTGGTGGCGCAGTTATACGCCCGTGCCGCCGCCGCATGCAAAGCCTCCATCTCGCACAACGACAGAAAAAAATCATGGTTGCTGGATGTGGATGACTACTGACATAAAACAAAAGTAAAACGTGTCGTTGCTAAAGAAGTTTGTTTACTGTACGTTCAAATATGAGAGCTTGCGCAGTGGTCTATTGGTGTTTGACAGCTATAGCACCGTTTAGCGTGAATGAATCCGCGCCAGCGCATAGTGATACACCTCCATCCCGACGACAAACGTCCATCTGTAATGACGAAACATACCCTTGTGGTCATAGGTAATTCTGGTTGCTGTAGTTGTAATAATGTAAGCAGAACCAAAAAAAGCAATGCGACAGCCAGATAGGCGCCACTGATTGGAAGCCAAACTTGGCCTAAGGCAATAAATCCAACATGCCACCAGTATGTGGTATGTTGGAGTTTTTGGACACCAATGCCAGATCCGAGGGAAACGCAACGCACGTCATGCCTTCCTTACTGGCCAGCCGTGTTATTTCGTGGGGCAAGTGCCAGTGGCTAACGCGGAGTGCGTCTGTCAGAGCTATTTTTGGTACGGATGGGTGCTATGACCGACGTCGAGGCTTGAGGTAAGGTCGCCAACTGAAAGTGTTTTAAAGCTTTGACAAAATTTCACTTGTCCAACTAAAAACGTGTCAAATCGGTGGGACAATTAGAAACGTTGCGCTGAAGGAACTAACCTCGTGCGTCATAGTCCCGATGCATAACTTAACTTTACCAAGAATGCTCTGAGAGAACAGCATTGTATAGAAAAAAAATGCGTGCTTTTCGAAGCTTACAAAGTGTGTGACCAAGGAAAAGTGGATCATACCCCACATAGTGAGCAATATTTCTGGTTTGTGGAAGTGGGGTCACGCGCCGTACGCCATGTTATTATTCATCGATCACTACGCAAATGACGAACATGTCAAATTAGTGATGTCCTGACCTATCCGTCACTTAAGACATACCATTGGGTCCAATCATGCCATTTTTCCCGCATACTGCTACATGCATGTATATTGATATTCTAGGGGGTGACACGCGTGTGTGCCTGACGAAGAAGATGAAGGGTTGTCTCCGCTCGATCCCTGGTGAACGGGTCACAACATTACGGCTGCTTTTAAATTCATCTAATTAACAGCCTCGCCAATACGGCGTCTCTTCTTTTCCGTAAAGTATTTGGTGGATGTGAAACGTTCCCCGTCCTCATCACGAAGCTTCGCAGTGGCCGCAGCGTTCAGTCTCCAGCCATGGCTACCAATGACAACAACCCGTCACCATCTCCAGCTGTAGCTCCAGCCACTACATACCTGACGATGCCCTACACCCGTGATCCCGGTACATTCTCCGCACAACCTGGGCTTGACGTTGACTTCTGGCTCTGTATGTACGAGCGTGTTAGCCAGACACACCGATGGGACCCTACCATGATGCTCGCCAACGTAATAATTTACTTCGACGGCACCCCACGTGTTCGGTTCGACGCCCATGAGACCGAGCTCACCAGCTGAGATATCTTCAAGGAGCGACTACCTACCATGATGCTCGCCAACGTAATATTTTACTTGGATGGCACCCCACGTGTTTGGTTCGGTGCCCATGAGACCGAGCTAACCAGCTTATATACCTTCAAGCAGTGACTACGCAACCTCTATGGGGACCCGTCCGGTCGCCAAATGGAAGCGCGAAAACTTGCCACTCGTGTGTAGTCCTAAACTGAGTCGCATATCTCATACATAAAGGACGTTCTCACGTTGTGCTGGAAAGTGGACGAGCAAATGACAGAGTGTGACAAGGTTGGCCACATCCTCAAGCGCGTCGCGGACGATGCCTTCGACTTGCTCGTTTACACCAACGTCATGACTGCAGATATGATTATTAAGGAATGCCGCCCATTCGAAATGGTGAAAAGCCGCCGTGTTCTGCCTCAATTTACGCGACTACCAAACACGGCTGTTACATCAGCCTGCACCAGTACTGGTGCCCCACCACCCATAAAGGACAGCGTGACACGTATAGTTCGACGGGAGCTCGAGGTGCCAAGCCCGGCATCATATCCTCTCCTTCCACTCGGCCATGGCGCCGCACGAACGCCTTCGGCGGTCTCCATTATTCAAGCCGTCGTCAGGCAGGAATTCGCAAAGCTCCGTTTTCCTGTGGCCAGCTCTGTCTCCCGCCTCGCCACGACACCAATGACAACAAATGCACCACATCATGACTCAAATTTTCTTCCACGATCCCGCAATTTGAAGGAATGGAGAACTGCAGATGACAAAGCAATCTGCTTCCGCTGCCACCGAGTTGGCCATGCCTTCCGCTACTGCCGCAGCACTTGGACGCCTTCAAACTGGAGTCCATTTTCCTCTTTTCGCCCATACGAAGAGTCCAGTCGGTATTCACCCAGCCGTCTGAACCCTTCTTCCGACGTCCCTAACAGCCGCTCTACCGCTCGTTCACCGTCACCTCAACGCCACCGTTTCCCAGCTCCCCAACCACGCCGCTATTCGTCACCGGTCAACTATGGATCCTCTCGGACGGAAAACTAGATCATACAGCTCCCGGAGGTGGTGCTGCATCAATTGCGGCTGATCCAAACCCTCCCTTCCCGCTCCCCACTAATACGAAACTGATTGAGATATATGTTGATGGTAATTCTTTGACGGCGTTAGTCGACACCGGAGCTCAAGTGTCTATAATGAGTGCTCATCTGTGTCGCCTACTCAAAAAAGTCCTCACGTCTGCAGCTAGTAAAGCCCTCCGTGTCGCTGATCGTGGAGCTGTGGCCATCACTGGATTGTGTGCCACTCGTTTTAGTATTGCCGGCCTCCATGTCCCCATTTTATTTATGGTGCTTCAAAATTGCCCTCACGACCTAATCTTCGGCATGAACGTCTTATCGACGCATTCTATCCTGATAGATT